GCCGTACTGCGATTTCCGATCATAACCAGTAACATGCGGTTGTGGCGTCCCTACAGCGAAACGGCCAAGTAGTTTCGAACTACCCGTGCACGAACTGGCAGGTTTCGCGACACACAGGCTGAATTCTCAGCTTGAGCAGAAATCAGTAAATACGAAAGAACGAGATCGACGAATGCAGTGAATCACTTCACTGTAACATTGAATCGGCTTCAAGCAAAATACAATTGTCCCGCGGTGTAGAGAATTCTCGCCCTGAGCTCACAGATGAGCAAAGAAAGAATGCTTAAGAGATTGCGCAGAACTGTCAAGAACGTCATCGCCGCTAGTGGCGATCCCGTTGGACGGAGAGCGGGCGCGCAATCTAAGCAAGAGAATTCCGTTCATCTCTACGGGATGAGAGTGCATTTCGAAATAGTATCAGACCATTGAGCAGCTATCTCCACGAGAGGCACATTGGAATCTTTCTCTGTGCGCTAGGCCGCAAACCGGAGTAAACTGCCCGATTCAGAGCAACGCCGGGACGGGGGCGCCCCGGCGCTCCCCCAACCTTCGGCCCGTTTTTAACGCGTGGGGATGACGCGACAAAAGCGAAATCTTAAGCGAATTCGCTGCGTTGCAGTTCCGCGCGTTCGAACCGGCGTCGCCTCGCTGCCATTGGCTGCCACCGCTGTTGGTTGTGCGCCAGTGGGCGCGTGCGTTCAGCAGCAATACCATTGGCCTGTGCCCTCTCCCACCTCTGCACGCCGAGTAACGGGAGAGGAGCTTCGAGCTGAGCTAAAAACACCTCAATGCAGGAAGGCAGGTGGCCCGGACCGGTCTCACCGCAGAACAGCTGCGCGCTCTGGGCGGGCGCGAGTCGAGTTTTTACTCGAGCTCCTGAATGCGTGCCTGGCGTGTGGCTATTTTCCCAAGGCGTGGAGGATGCGACCATTGCACTAATACAAAACCTGGCAAAAATAAACTATTCCCGAAGAAGCTATAGATCTATTAGTCTACTCTCCATCCTAGGGAAAACGTTTGAGACTGATCCTGTCACGTTTGCAACAGGAAATACGTCGTCTCAATCTTCTCCAGAGATGAACAATTTTGGCTTTCGAGCTGGTCACAGCTCCGCGCAGCAGCTTACGCGGCTTTGCACGCAGATCGGCCTCGCCCTCGAGAGACGGCAAGAACCTGCCAGTGGTCTTTCTGGATACTGCGGTCGGCTTTCGACTCTGTGTGGCATGCGGGTTTGCTCGAGTGCCTTGCGGTGGCGGGAGTGAGCGATTGCTACGTCAGACTGATCGCGAGTTTTCTCTCTGACAGGCAGTTCAAAGTGCGCGTCAATAAACGTATATTCGTCCCTCAGACGAGCCGAGGCAGGCGTGCCTCAGGGGAGTGTTCTTTCTCCTGCCCTCTTCGGATTATACGTGAATGACGCCGCCGCTTCATGCTGAAACAAGAACTGGTATTCAACGCTGCGGGCTCCTGATGTTCGCGGATGATTTCGCGTACTACGCGAAAATCGGCGACGAAGGCAGTCAGTTAAATACTTAAGTGATTGTCTCGCCGCCTTTCCATGAATGGCTAAGTCGGAAAAACGCCTCGCTCTCAACCTCGAGAAATGCGTCGCCGTCAAACTTCACTCTAAGAGGGCTAACCCAATGAAACGGTGAGCTTTGCTGGCACGCATCTACCTTGGCGGAGCGAAGCGAGATATTTGGGCGTGCTACTGACAGCGCCCTTCGCTGGCATGCGCACGCTCGGTATCTCGCTGCCAAAATTAAAACACGCACCCCTCCTTTTGAAACCTATTCTCCGTTTCGCCCGATTTGCAATTGCGTGCGTCCTTGTGGGCGTATGCTTGTGAGGTATTTCGCGCCAGCTTCTCCCTCCACTCTGCACCCATCCGGGTAGCAGAGAACAGAGCGGCGCGCCCGCACTTGCCTTTTACTAGACCCGACCGACAACCCAAAAATGCTTGACGTCTCAGAATCTTAGGCGTTCGCAACCGAGTTCCCGGCGAGCCTACAAAAGAGGGCGGAGACGGCGCTCCGCAAGGGCGCTGAGGCGTCCGCTCCGCGCATCCTGCCGCGAGACCGAGCCAGGCGGCGAACAGCGGCGTGCACAGGGCCTTTCACAGAAGAAAGGGCCACACACGTCGCTTCACCTTCCGCCACTGCCCCCGCACAAGCTCTCTGAGCTCTGCGATGCGGAGAGCAGCAAGTGCGTGACAGGGGATCGCCGCTCACGGATGCCGAAACCGCGCGGGCCGGCGCGGATGCGCGCTCCGCTGGGCCAGCGTCGCTGGGGACGAAGACGTCGCGGCGCCACGGACGCTTGATTGAAGTCGGCGCGCGTGCGTGCTTTAAATGTATATAGTGTTGTGAAGTGTTGTGTTTGTATGAATGGAATGAAAGGATGCGTTTGTAAATAATAATTATTAATGAATGAATGCGAGTGAGAAAAAAAATTGAAAGAAGAAATTGAAACAATTTCAAGATCTCCAATTAAAGATTTAATAAAAAAGCCCTAAAAACTAACCCACCCCAAAGTGGAATGTGTAATAGTTATAGTATAGTTTTAGTTTGTAAGGCAATTAAGCCTTCTCTAACTGCACAAGCCAAATCGGCTGCAGTTATTATCATAATGTACCCCAAAGATAAATAAATTCCTGCCTCTCCAGGGAAACTGGAGGGGGAAAAACTGAAGAAAAAAAAAAAAGGGTTAGAGGGATGGAGGTGCCTGCGTCGTCGCGCGTTGTATGTTGTGTTGCGGGGACGTCTCTGTGTTATTTCTAATGCCTCTTTTTATGCGTCTTCGGCCAGTATCGGTTTTCCTGTGTTGCAGCCGGATCTTGTCGAAGTCCAATGGCATGTCCCCGTAACCTCCGAGTGGTGTGCAATAGCAGAACGGTTGGTGTTGTTCTTGTTGTCAGTGGGGCATGTGTTCTTGAGGGCGGCTCGGACACAGACGCGCCGGTCTCCGCCAATATATGCCCTGCCGCAGCTGCAGGGAACTTCATAAACTCCTGCCGACTGGAGAGGAGTAACGCATCTTTAATGCGTACCAAGGCGTTGTGCAGCTTGTCGGGCGCCGTGAACACCGTACGGATGTTGTTCTTCGCGTATAATTACCCCACACGCTCGTGAACATCTGACGTAGGGGATCACGGCTAATCTAGGAGCGGTGCCCTCTCTTCTATCTCCGAAGAAGCGTGACGGTCTTCGGCGTTGCCGCGGCGCTTCGCGCCACCGGCGCCGTCGTGCGTTGGAGACT